AGGTGTGATGCAACTCCCTAGATAAGTGAAGCAATCCACTAGTTCCAGAATGTCGCCAGGAATGGTGAGCGTGAACGCAGGCCTCTGCAAGTCCTGAAATAGCACTTCACATTCGGTTAAGGTGAAATACAAGCCCTAACTGGATGCTTCAATCGCTAAGCAGTTTAAGGTGTTTTGGTCGGTTTGTAGATGGCTACTCAGAAAACCGAGATCATCAGGGTGGTCCGCGATTCCGGCGCCAGGGAGAAGCCCAACACCGCAGTTCTGGAAACCTAGCGCTCCTTGTACATCCTCGATGCCAAATTGAAGAGGAAAGGTGAAATAAGGCAACCTTGGCGAACGCCGCTGGTGACAGCAAACGAAGAACAAAGACTGCTTCAGTCCTAAGTTTGCCCGACGTGTGACTGTACAGTTCCCTCAGAATGGCGACAAAGTTGTCAGGTACACTCTTTCTTAGTAAACAATTCCACAAAGCTCTGTGTACTGAAAATAATGACGCGCGGATGTCCAAGTACACTACGACTGTTGATCGACGGTGGGCGAGGGGGAGCCCGAGAACTTGTTGGAACGTGAAGATTTGATTAATGCAACTTGGGCATGAGCGAAAAGCACCTTGTTCTTCTCGAGAAAAACTCTGATTGAGGAAAGCCTGCGAAGTAAGGACGGATACAAAAATCTCGGAAACAAGTAGGATCATCAAGATTCCGAGGTAATTAGCGCAATCATCGCGGGTGCGTTCTCTGTGAAATGGGACAACGACTGAGTCTCCTCATGAGTTGGGGACCTTCACATCAGTCCAAGCCTTCGTGAAAAGCGAGAGCAATTCGCTGACAAGTACATCCCTGCCATCTTAGAAAAGAATAGGAAGAAGGCTGTCAAAGCCGGGAGCTTTGTGCCGTTTCAGAGACTGCATTGTGCTTCGGATCTCAACTTCTGTAGGAGGGTCAGTGGGGATAGACTAAGCATCATCCGATGGAGATGGAGGTGTCACAAAGGGATGTGCTGGGTATTTAAATTGAAGAGCAAAGTGAACTGCCCAATGCTCCAAGCGCTTCTGCAGGTTGCTGATTTTTGTACCGTCTAACTCACAGAATGTCTGACTGATGACGTGTGAATTACAACCGGTGACCTTGATGAGGCGAAACAAACTGCGGCAGTTTCCAACCGATGCAGCGGCTTCCATCTCAGCAGCACGCCTAGACCAACAGGATTCACGGTTAGAGCGAAGTTTGCTTTCAGCTGTAGAGAAATAGACTGACGAATTTCGTTGTGTTGAGCGCCGGCGACGATCTAGAAGTTCCGATGAAGTTGCCGAGATTCAGCTTTTAGCTGTGCAGCGGATGAGGCCGCTGGTGGACAAACCTGCGGACAGCATGGCGTTTTGCAAGCCTAACTAGTGCCGGTCAGCATTCAGAGAAGAGGAGGGAGCACGGTTTGCAGGAAGCCTCTGTTGATACTCCCTTTGTACTGCAGGATCTCCCAATTTGCAAATGTTCAGTCAAATTTGTTTGGTCCTTAAGGAACCACTGAAGCGCATGCAAACTGTCGCACACACCAATGCGTGGTCAATTCCCACCCAACTTGACCATTATGATCGGCAATCCCGTATGCTTCCAAGCCATCTTTGACTTATAGCTATGCGGTCACTTTGCGACCAACGCTGGGCTGAGGATGGGGAAGGTCAGGTGGAATAATGGCACCTGGGATGACGAAAGCACGTACCGGAGAGGAAAATTTGGTGATCGCCACATTGAGCAATCTTTCTCCATCGTCAGAGCAAACCTCATCATATCCATGTGGTTCCCCGGAATGGCGTTCAGGTGGAAGCAGCCAACCGAGGGTTAAGTTGAAATATCCTGTCATAATGATGATGTTCGTTTTAGGTGCCCTTAGGAGTAGATAATGAAGATTTTGAAAGAACTGGTCCTTGACTGCATCCGAACTGCAGTCAGTGGGGGGCATAAGCGATCACAAAACAGCACATTTTCGGCTCGATGTTTGCTAATCTTGCAGGAGCCACGGAGCCTAAGAACACAGAGATGACTGTTGACTGGAATCCACTCGGCTCTAGCACTGATCGTAATCTCAGCACCAGGTTGCTCAGAAGCGACAGACTCAGCGTCACCAGAAAGACGGAGATGAAAACGGGCGAGGGAGTGAATTGGTGGCGATAGCTGGTAGGATGTGTTGGAGTCCTGAAGTCGTGTCTCAGTCAGGCAGCAGACATCAATTGCAAGAGTTTCCAAGGTGCGTGCTAGTCCCGCTTGTTGTCTGAGCTGCAGTAGGGTGCGCACATTTAGCGCTGCTAGCTTGAACCGAGTTCCATGTTGCAGAAGCGATGATGGAAGACCTTGTGGCTGGTGGTTCCTGTGAAGCACTGTGTGGCTGAGTTGGCAAATGCTGATGGGATGGATTCGCCGGTGGAAACAGAACAAAGTGTACATTAACCATAGTATCATTATTCGCCAAGTTTGAAACATGAAATCCCCTTAATAATGTGTAGGAACATTAGAAGATGCAAGTTGTAAGATGACTCGAACAAAAAAATACATGCAGACAGTCCGGAATGGTTGTCCTCCACAACTCGAGCGAGCAGCTTTTGTTTGTTAACGATAACAGGAGCAGTGTTCGGTAGAAAAGCTTGGGTGGTAAGTAGGCAAGGCACCCAACTGCGACCAGCACCAGACGGCCATGTGATATGCGACTGATTCCCATCTGGTGACCGCATGACAGCGCACTTTCCCTCGCATCTCCTGGTAACCATCATGAATTGCCCAAGCAAAAGGCTCCAATGCTCTATACTTCGCATATATACGAATTAATTCTCATCATCCATGATGTCTAAATATACGCTTCGCAATTACTAAGCGTTAGTGTAATGTTCAAGAGGAAACGAAACAACAGGATAATCCAGCTAACGTTCCACCTTGATCCTATCGTAAAGTCCGGAGAGAATTCGATGGACTGAGTTGCGATCTACGGTTGAACTCACTATGCGTACGCTTCACACCAAACAGTGCCTACATGCCCTGTACTGCCAGTGCAGTAGCGCTGCTCATGTAAAAAGGGGAAAAAGAAAAGAAAGGCAAATTGGAACTATCACAACAAGCACTTTCAACAGCATGGATTTAGAAACGAAAGCAAATAAAAGAACAGGAAGCCTGCCGCTATGAATGAAAGAGAGGATGTGGTGAGGAAGGTTTGAAAACGAAGAACGAGGGCGTCAAGTTGATATGCAGCCACCTCCAAGGTTAGTGCCAACCTCACATCCGCTGATAGGGCTTCCCCAAAAGCAACTACTCTCTGCCTAGGTACCGGCGGCCTCGTAGTATCCATAGCCTACGCGCGACTGGTGGCGGCAAAACACCAATGCGGTGCACCGGTGTACCGTTGATGTCGTAAACAATTCTATGCGACGAGAAACTCAGGTCAACTCGATCAGACGGGATTTGTGTAACTTCAGTGGCTAACCACGAAGAGCTGAAGCCAGTGAGCTGGAAGGGTTCAGATAAATCAACGTCAATCTGACCAGTCAGTATGCAATAGTGGACAAATCGCCACGATGTCGCCTATAATACAATCGAAATATGACTAACCTGAGTAACCCATAAGAATAAATATCGTTAGCTCAAGGACCATTTTAGTCCAAAGCCCAAGACTGACGCTGGCGGGACACAGTGAATACAGACTGTCGGAAAGAAAGAATGGAACCTAGACAAACACATATCTCCATTTTGCATAAAGAATCCGAAATACATCTTAAGTCGTGTCTAGAAATATTACATAAGTGAAGTTTATGGAAAAAATGAAGGTACAAAATGGAGTCCAAGGCTTTTGGGAAGTGAATGTACACTACTTCATTAACTGGACTTTATCTACGGCCCACAGTCCCGAGACATCAACAAAGTAGTCAGATAAGAATAACGGTTGCAAAAGTTAAGATGCAAAAGTCAAGATAAGGACATGCAATCTCGATTGGGACCGTGGCTTAAATCAAATTGAACCTCGTCTGCTGCAATCAGATGGACCGAATCGGAAGTGGAAACTTTCGGTGTAGCACTCTAAACACGCAGGCATTCAGAACTCAAAAATGGAATTCTAACCGCTGTGTCAGACGTTGCCCAATGGTTTAGCTAGTATAGCGTAGACGTTAATCATTACGTTCCGAGTCCCACTCCCAAATTCAGCAATATTTGTCTTGATTGCAAAAAAGACGAAACCGATCGCGTTACTCAGTGCTCAGAGTGAGCAACCCCAAGGATATCCGTCTCCAAGTAGTTCTCTAAAAGCTCGCTCGCCGTACTTGTCAAACCAATCAGTCCATAGTTCTCGTGAAGAAGTTTGTCACACTTTTTATAAATGGAGAATATAGCAACCTATCTCCAGTCCGTGGGATGGAGGAGACTGTGTAGAGTACTCAAATAGACGCATGAGAAGACCGCAAAACTGACCTGCAAATTCACAAAACGAAAAGGGATGAATAGCATTCAGGCCGATAGCAATGGAATTATTCAATTCGTGTAGCAGCACGAACATCGGAGCCTCTGACATGGAAACATCATTCAAAAAACCTACAGCATCCAAGTCGATATGCGAAAACTAAGACTATCAAACGAAAGCACCTGTGTACTGTTCACCGAGTAGACAAGCTTGATCTTGGTCGGTGAGAGCGATACAGCCGCCAGGCCCAAACGCTAGGGTGAACGATTTCATAATATTTCAGGTCGGCCGGTAGCCAAGACGATTACGTGCCTGCGTCCTAGCCCGGAAATCATTGATTCAAATCCAAAGTGCGAACGAACTCGCGAGATACTAAGTCCACGCAAGACAGGTGGTGGGGGCGTAAAGGTCGAAGTGTCCGTACAATGTACCGGCGAACTGCTGATGCATGTATTTTATCAATAATGGCTTTAGCAAACAGATTATTCCGGTAGGTACAAATACATATACCGGTTACTAACAGATGCAAAAAAAAACAAACGAAAAGCCAGCACGCTTACGTTACGCGAGAAATCGACTTTTCGGAATTCATCTCCCTGAATAATGTGTTTTCGGCAGAAGCTTCAGGGCGTAAAAGTTACATTACAGTACAGCTTCACTAAGTGAGCAGCCAAGAAGCATGGAGAAACGACGACGGATGTAGTATGCAGCTGGTCTGGGGCTCCGAGTCTTTTCCTGCTCAATAAGCAAACTGGTTCGCAATGAAACTGTGGGGCTGAAATGTTAAACAAACACCTAGAAGGCAGCTGGGTGCCAAAGAGCACAAAGATTACCACCATCATTCTT